CCAAATGAGGGACTAGACCGCTGTGTGATGTGCCTGTGAAGTGAGAGTAGGATCAAGATAGGCTGGTACCTGTTGTGTTAGTGGCGACGGTGATACTGATTACGCTGGCAACGCTGGCACTGTGGGCGTTGTTAGTGCTGGATATGGGGAGGAGGGGTCGTCGTATATCAAGACATATTTAGCGCGTCGGCATTGTGGTGAATTCAACAATGGTGAATTTGCCTGCAACCAAGAAGGCCTATGTAGTGAATGAATGTACGTAGGCTGGACGAGCTGGAGTTCAGACCGGGTAGGGAAAATGGGAAGGTCCTTTGGCGGGGACTGGTTGGCTTGAAAATGGTCCTTGGTTGATCCGGCAAACCAGAACGGCGATGGCATGTGGAGGTGTCGGGCAGGCGTTCTCCGGTCGCAGGGTCCTGGGCATCAGTGATTCCTCGGTATTTATGGGGCTTCCAGTCAAAGCGGACAGGTCTAACGAATAGACCAATAAGCATCAGAAAATATGGACACTGAAAGGTAGGATAGCAGAGAGGATTAGCCACTGGGCTGATCGAGGCCGCAGACTGCCATATATGGCTCTCTAGCAATGACCAATAGGATGAAAGCTCAGAGGTGACTAGCGTGGCGCCGTGGTATCGGAGGATAACTGGCAGCGCGCTAGGGGGGTCTAGCATGACTAATCCGCAACCGGACAAACTGCGTCTACGTGCCTACTCTAGTATACAAAAATGCCAAACGGCTTGGATTAATCCGGCACAGTCGTCCGTCCGTTTTATGAAATGGAAGGCGGAAGCCTGCCGCTGCCGTCACGCCTAAGCTGTTGGAGTTATGGGCTTTCCCCAGGGAAATGGCCTCCGGACATGTATAATTCCTTCTTTCAGTATTTCTGGATTCCTCTCATTGAGGCTGTACCACCTAAGGACTTCTGTTTTGAGTTATCCACATTTCCTTCTCTCATCGGATGAAAAACCCGGCTGAAAAACTGTTGGGTGAGCATTTTGGATTGTCCGCCCAACAGAAGCTGCACTTACTCATTATTCTAAAAGACTGTTTTTAACGGCCTTGGCTAGTCTTACATATATTTCGCGGGTTTTATCAGGCTCGAGTCAAAAAAACCTTTCATACGGCGACCTTTTCGTCCCCTATTAAGAACGATTTGAGGTAGTGCTGGGAAATTTTTGCGTCATAATGTATTCTGTCCTTCGGGGTGTCGGTAACAGACTCAGGCAGCCTTTTATGACAATAAACTTGCTGAGATCAACTGGAGGGCTTTGTGATGAATTTTTACGTGCGACGACTTCTCCACAAATAACTCTGCTACCATTTCCCTCTGATTTGGAAGGTCTAATTCGACAGAGTCGAAGTATGACGTCGTACTCACCACGGGGTGACTTCATAGCGAAATACACAGAGTTGCAGTCATATTTACTACGAGTAATATTTGCTCCTTCATTTATTTCACCCATGCACCATGTGTCGATTGTCTTATGGCTATCACGTTGATCTCGTTACGGCAGTGCCAGGACTCAATTCCGCCTTGTGACGGATTTTTTGCTCATTGTCTTGGAGGCATTTCGTCGACTCCCATTACTAATTGAAAGAATGTGTAATGCATTCAGTGGTACGAGACAACGGATTTTAACCACATCAACTGCATGCAATAAATAGCGGAAGGACTCAGTCGTGTGTAGATTTGAAGAAGTCCGTTGGGCTGTTAACAGAGAAATAATCAGCAGGGGATTTGTTGAAATCCCTTTGTAAAATTGTGTTTACGAGGATATTATTGGTATAAATCCATTTCTTACTAACGGCAGGTTATAAGAACGGCCGGTGGATTGAAATTCCAAAAGAAAGTAAATCCTTCGGAGATCAAATATTTAAAATCAAATTCCGGAACGCACTCAGGCTGTAAACACGCGGATGAAATGGGTTATCTAGTAGAGCTCTCGAGCAACTAGGGGATAGCAAACAGGTCCTGGGCAAAGTGGAAAATCTCCGAACACTGTTCGAAGCAAATGACCGCAATGCTTCCGACAACCTAGGCGGCAACTTTGGGGAGCTGTCAGGTCTGATGCAGGTAGGCACACATTTCATGGAGGTCCTAACAGAATTAACGGATTGTCTACTGTTATACAAATAAGCTTGCTTTATCACCTCATGCAGATAGAATCTCTGCCAAGGCCGCGCAGATATGTGGATTCATATCGCATAATTTTTTCCTTCCGGAAATGAAGCTAAGACTTTATCAAATGTTTGTTCTTCCAGTCCTCGAATACTGCTGTCCTTTCTTCGGTTTAATGAACGCCTGCGACCGTAATAAAATCGAAAATGTTCAGAGGGTTTTCACCCGGAAACTGTTCTCTCAAGCTTCGTCCAGTATTTCTTGTACTCAGAGATGTCAGCTGGCGAGCATTATGTTTTTGTGGGTTAGAAGACTCGAAGCTGGCCTTTGCTTCCTTTTTCGCATCAACTCTAGCTCCAGTCTTCCGCACATTGACACTCTCACTCCGAGAGATCGGTCTTATGCCACGCGCAACTCCTGCATGGTGATTTCGCCGACTCTTTGTACTACATCTAAGCGCTCCCTCTTTTTTGCTTCCAAATATGCCTTCCTTTGGAATAATCTTCCGTCTGAACTTAGATTATCGCCTAGGTTACTGGTATTCAAGTCGAAATTACGCAACCATCTTACACCGGAAAGCATAAAGGCACTGTTAACGGTCTCATTCCCGAACACTCAGAATCTTGACTTCGTGAAGGGTCCTCCTGGGATTTAGTGGTAGATTAAGTGGTAACTCTTAATTATATCATTAGAAACCCCTGTTTTTAATTTGGTTTCTAAATCCACTGCTATCACTCCCCCCCATAGCGACAATTTTCGCGGTTTTTGATGTCACCTCAAGCATTCCGACCTCATGCGTCTGTCGACGCTCAGGGCGGAACCCTCAGTATTCGCCGTCTACTAGTAGTTTGGTCGTACCTCCCTTCCGCACTGCTCGACTGAGCTCGAAGCGTGCTGTGGCCGATCGCATCTAGGTTCCTCTCGTCTGGCCTCTTTGACGCGGCGTTTCAATCCGGCCCAGACGATCTCAATTGTGAATCCCGTATACAATGCCACATGCAAGCCAGTCCTGTCTGACCCGCATACGTACCCCACAAGGCTGATATTTATTGCTACCCTGACGATGACCGACAACATTCCGTTATATACCGCCACCTACAGGCCAGTCTTGCTCGCTTTTTTCTATCATTATTTTTATTGAGGGGTTTTTTCTCCTGAATAATTAATCCAATCATTTTTAACTTTTTTAAGGAGTTTTTTTTCACCCCTCAATTATCATATTTCTCAATGGACTAATAATTCAGAAACTATGAATTGCATTTTGTAAAGATTCGGCCTACCTCGTCTAAAACTCACATGTAAATTTATTTTAACTTGCTTTGATGGGACCGCGACGGGTCTTTAATAAAAAATTATTTATTTATTTATTTACTCTAAATTATGAAGATGATAAGTATGTGGATCAAGGAAACCGTACCAGAAGAGCCGATGAAAAAGAGGATTTCCTTCCAATGTTCCCCTTATGTACAGTCTTTTTCAAATGTTGAGGAACAGAAGGGCCTCCGTTTTCTAGTGGCCAACTCATTTAAACCCTCGTCACGGCGTCTAAAGGCAACTAGACAAGCAACACAGAGCTACTTACGTTTTCACGGGCCCTTATCCAAACTGATTATCAGCTGTTCGGCAAGACCCATAAAAATTCGGTCGCCGTCACTTCGGGTATAGAGGTAGGCTTGGCAGCCCTCGCTCACGAAGTATTGTTAACTGCTGATACGAGTGTGGGCGAGGGCTTTGACGAATCCAGGCATAATATCACATGAATCCAGGCTAAGTGAGCATAATGTGTTCCAGGAAGTGAGAAGCAGCTGCCCAGTGACCCCTCTGCGATCAAGCAAATTGTAAGAGCCGTGATTACGCCCAACTTTTTGACAAGTTCTTTGGATTGACTGAAACGAACTGCCTGTGTGTTAAGGTATTTATACTGCAGAGGAAGCCCACCCGTACAGATGTCCTACGGAACGTCTTCTCACAGCGAGTCATAAGAGTCTGGGATGGACTGTCCGCCGCGGTAATGCTGTAGTGGCAGACAGGGGCGAAGTTGGCGGGAAGTTAAAAAGAAAGACGAAAACGGCGATTTGTGGCGTTGTGCTTCGGACGAGCCTTTTTCTTCTTCCCTTCACGGACCAGAGGGATTGTTCAAACAGAGTTGAGAAGACGACTCCAGTGAATGTAGTATCTACCCCAGAACCACAGCAGTGAAGTACTCCATAATCCCTTTTGATCGCCGTTATCCTCATCTTTATTGAGACTATACGCTCCCCGTCCTCATTTACCCTATTGCACTGTAGAAATCTCTTGTGTACAGACCGTTCTCCTTCTACTGAGTTGCGCATTAGCTTGAGCTTCTGATTGAAGAATGAGTGACGCTGACGATCCATGCAATTCAGAGTTGACGTACGGTACTGAGCCGAAGCCGATTCTCGAACAAGCAAAAGCCGCAAAGGTCATTGCGGTAAGAAAGACAGGACAAATGAGTGGCCTGTCTACTACAATGCTTTTATACATTACTGGGATATTTAAATGCGGGCCTGATGCTCATTTGCTGAGAAAGTGCCGTGCGTATAATCATGATTGTATCGGTGGCTGCAGTTTGCCTCAGGTTCATGCGTATGATGACTTCATACTTCAGGATTTCTATTGCTAAAATTCATTCCATTGTCGTTCGTGGTATTAAAAAGGAGTTTAACTGTGAATGTCTCATTCTCTAAACAAAATATATTCGACTAGCTATTCCAATCCATCATTTTCCTTGGTGTATTTGGTTGTGTGTAAAATGCCTTGGTTTCAGACGTTGGCCGCTTCATGGCTGAGGACTCGTCCCCTGTTCAAGTCAATTTACTCAGCGTGATTTGCTTGCTTTACGAAGTAACTTCTTCTGATGGATAAAAAGGTTTCAGATAGCGCTGTGAGCGTTCTGCAACAGCGCTGCGAACTGTTGACTCGCAAAGTACGCTTTCTTCCCGTTTGGTTGTTTAAACAACGACATTTCGTTTTATGTGCATGTGAACTGTAAGTATCTAGTTTTCTCTTTTCGTCATGGCAGCCATATTTCATTCCTGAGACGTGCATCCTCCTGAGACAAGCCATTTTACACGCAACCGACACTAGGTAACTCTTTAGGTCTCAGGTGCCAAGTAATACTCAACGCGTCTTCCTCTGGTTACCTTTTTCGATGTGCCATCCCGCATACAGGTCCGCGCCAGGTGGCCTGGGAAGGGAGCGTTATATTTCAAACCGCAGAGCTCATCACTCACTTTATGTAGACCTTTAAATTGTTGACGACGCATAGTCAGTATCCTGAAGTATTTCAAGTATTTTGGCATTATGTTGCATGTCAATATCACAGCTCCACCTAAGTGAACTTTTATAATCGAAAGCACATTTCGGAATTCCGGTTGACATTTCATGGGATAAACCAGCTACTGTACTTCGGCCCTTGTGCTTTGGACGGTGCTTTGAGCTGAATCGGAGATTTCGTGTGACCCCTTTGTCTGAAGTGTTATCCCAACGGCCAGTTTATTGTATTTTCTGTAGGGTTCAAATAAGACCTTATTCCTAGACAAGAGAAGCAAGGTGAGGACCACCTGCACCAAGCCCTACTTTTGTAGTTTTATCCCAAGCAAATGTGTTTATGCATCTTCATTAGTGTTGTTGCCTTTTCTTTATTCCTTTTTTAAAAAGGTCTTTGAATACACGGTTTATCATGACGCAGTTCCAGGCTTATTGCTTAGTTAAATAACCTGTAGCATGTACCTAATCAGAATACAAGAGGCAACGTGTTATTTCCATTGATGAATGTGAAACTCTCGATCACATTGCTCCATATTGACGCGATTGGGGTAGAAAAGACTGCGAGACCCCACTAAGTTCTCATCAACTTAATTATGTTTCGGTTTTTATCATTAACCTACTGTCATCCTCGGTAACCGAAATACTTTCAAGGGATTGTCTTTTGGGTCTTTATGATTTCCTTAACGCATTATATTTTTTCGGTTTCTAATTTGACAGATTGAGAACTTCGCACTTATAAGTACTGTTCTTCAGAAGAAGACCGACAAGCTTGTTGAGTTGCTCAATGACAATAGAGACTACTCCGGCCTTATCACTCGGGAGTATGATGAAGTCTCGAACGACATCAATTCTGTTCAGGCTGTCATCGAGAAATATACTACTGAGCTAGAGGAGATCCGATTCAAGATCGAACAGTTTGCAGAGGGTGAAGACAACAAAGCGCTTAAGCCCACCTCACCAAGCACCTATCTGACCTCGCAACATCACCAGCCCCTAAGTCCGTATGAACTGACAAGGTTTCGCTTGCGAGCACATCTCCCTGATAATCAATTTACTATGGTTGAAGTTCGTCCAGGGCAGAAGATAAGCCACGTACTCGAGAAGAAGCTCGCAAATCGTGGTTTTCATACAAATGAATTATCCGTATATGGTGCATGTACGAGGTAAACAATAACCGCCATCATTGACTTTCATCATTTCAAGGAGACCAATCTCATGGGATGATGATGCTGTGCAGGTTTTTTTAACAGAAGAAGATATAGTCGTGGAATTCAACTGCTTCAGTGGCAAACGCAGACCCCGTCATGCATTGCAAAGGAAGACATTCTTTGAGAAACAGCAGTGCTCTATTTGCTCTAAGTTTGTTATATACGGTAGGTCGTCTAAGGTGGTTTTAATGCCATTTGTTAGGTGCTATATGCAAGATTTGTGGCTACGTTTTCCACCAGCGCTGTATTTCCAGACTTGAAAAGCTTCCTGACGAAGAAAGTCAAGGAGATATCCATCTGTGGGACTTATGCCGATTGTACGTTTCTCACATTAGACTGCACATTTTCAGTTAAACTTCCGCTCGCATTTGCATTGGGCGAACTTTATTTTTCACTTTTTTTGTAGACTGACTTGCACAGGCCAACAGAGCTCTGATTGGGTCCAAAATCTGCAATCCCAAACGCCAACCCTAGTCCGACTTATAGGAACTGATTTAGTTCGTTGCGACGAAGATATTGGCCACGCTCATCTCTACGATGTTCATTCGGGGCTGATAAGGCTAGGTTGTAATCAACTTGCACCTCCTTTGCACCTCACTGCAAATACGCGCGAACGTTCATCTTCGAGTCCGAACGTTTCTAATATCCTTGTTCCTCAACTTCAACCATTCCCGGAAAAGATCCTTCAGGTATACTTGCTCTAGGATATTTTGGTCCCTATATTCCCATAACCGACTAGACTATAGGGTCTACTTACCATCTTTCTGTTTGTGAATTGTAGACCCGTTGAACTAACAGAGACTACTGATGTCGAGCGGAAATACATTGGAAAACTATAAATATATTTATGTATATGCGGAATGAGGCACCGACAAAGACAAGAGAGATTGCGATGACTGTCTATGAAATACTAGCCGTGCCAGCTTTACTCAACCCCAGGTTTACAGGACCTGAGATTCGAATCCGCCTTCTTTGGTCATCAAGCGTTAAGTCCCGCGCTCTAAAATCGGGCCACGGGCTCGTTGTCCTGTTTGTTGTGTTTGGGAATATTAACTGCGTTGATAGTGCTTTCATTGATTAGGTTACGGGGGTATGCTAGGGCTGTAGATTAAGCCTCAAGGTACAATGGGACGAGCATGTTCTGTGACATGATTGGCGGACACGCTTCCAACAACGAGCCTGTGACACAATGACTAGAGCGTTGGACTAATAATCAACAGAGCGTGGGCACGAGCCCCAGGTGTCCTTGAACCTGGGATTGGGCAAGGCTGGTGGACGGCTATTAAGCTGGTCATGACCATCTCCTTTTCTCTTGTCTATTCGTTCTGCATATATATGTATATAATGAAGATCGAATAAACCCAAAACCGTACTGTATCAATCTACCCGCATACGCTGTCGTCCCTCCTCCCTGCCACCTGGCCTGGCAGTTGGCTGCCTGTTCATGACTTTTGCCACCCATACGGAGTTCAATGGTTTCGGAAAACCGTTAGGTCAGTGTGCACCTATCGCTGCCCGAGTATATACATATATATATATTGGAAGGTAGGCATCCCAAGAAATATAAGTTGAAGGCAGAGGCGTTCTTTGGGAAAAGGTACTTTATTGCGTGAATTTTCGACGCCGGTTCCCCAGGTCGTCGTCAGACGCAGACTAAAAGTAAATGTGCCGAAAACAGTTAACATCTGGCAGTGCACATGAAAAAATCGATAATCGTTCGCATTTGCGCCCGTGAGCGGCCGCTATTTGCGTCATTCCGTCCCGATTGGCTCTCGTCTCTTCCATTTCTCCTTGAGACTTTTGTACGCGGCGTCCAACTCGATGTGACGGTTGATGCACGATTCATCCGAGTGCATGGCCTCAAGGAACTCTCGGCCTTTCTTGAAAGAAAGGCCGAGAGTTCCTTGAGGCCATGCACTCGGATGAATCGTGCATCAACCGTCACATCGAGTTGGACGCCGCGTACAAAAGTCTCAAGGAGAAATGGAAGAGACGAGAGCCAATCGGGACGGAATGACGCAAATAGCGGCCGCTCACGGGCGCAAATGCGAACGATTATCGATTTTTTCATGTGCACTGCCAGATGTTAACTGTTTTCGGCACATTTACTTTTAGTCTGCGTCTGACGACGACCTGGGGAACCGGCGTCGAAAATTCACGCAATAAAGTACCTTTTCCCAAAGAACGCCTCTGCCTTCAACATATATATATCTAACGGTAGAGGGACTTTTATCGATAGTTTTTACGGAACTTACTCGTCTCGTTGTGCCTTACGGGCTCTCTCACGTGCCTCAAACAGCAGCCGCAAGGCGGCGCATGATGTAAGCAGAATGTTACTACCGACAAAGACAAGGGAGACTGGAATGGCCATTTTTGGCTTCGTAGTTGTCGTCAGCTAGTCATACCCGACCCGTAGCTCAATGTTTAGAGGCGTTGGACATCGAACTAATAGGTCGCGGGACCGACCCTCAGGTGTTTCGCACTTCGGGGTTGGGTATGACTGGCTGACGACGGCTAATAAGCCAAAAATGTCTATTCCAGTCCCCCTCGTCTTTGTCGGTAATAAAATTCTGCTTATATCGTGCGCCGATGCATGAGACAACAGGAATCAAAAGAAAGGGACAAGGAACTAGATTGTTCCGATCAGGCACCAAAGCCAAGAAGTTGGCGAACGCTTCCTTACATTAAGAATGTGTCTGAACTCGTTGAAAAACATCTGAGGAAGCACCAAATACAATTGGCGGACAGACCGACGACTACGCTATGCAATCAGCTTGTGCACCCCCAAAGTTAGGGTTGGCTATTTGGATGAAAAAAGGTAGTCTATTTGATTCCATGTGGCACTTGTAATGCGGTATATTGTGGGCAAACCGGAAAATCAGCCTCCACACCCCTACAGGAACACCAATTGGCAGTAAAGAGGCGGGACCACCTATCCCAAGTCGCCGCGCATACTCTAGAAACTGGGTACAAATTTGCTCAGGATAAAACACGCATTGTCGGTTCCTGTCCATATAAGAAAGGCAGGGAATTTCTAGAGGCCATCCCCTTTATGGTCCATCGATCTGGACGTCATGTACACAAATCTCAAAGAAAACGGAAAAGATGATAGCCAATCAAAACGTGACGTCAGCCCTCCTCGGCACCGACAAACCAATATCGATTTTTCGTGCATGGCTAAATTTTAACTGTTTTTCACACTTTCTACTAGTCTGACGACGACCTGGGGAACCAACGTCGAAAATTTACGAAATAATGTTTGTTCGATTTCCCAAAGGACTAATTTTTCTTCGAATTATGTTTCTTGGGATGCCTGTCTTCCAGTACATGCACATATATATATATATATGCTGGAAAACGGGCATCCCAAGAAATTTAATTGAAAATAAGTAAGATTCTTTGGGAAGGGAATAAACTTTAATGAGTAAATTTTCGAGTCTGGTTCCCCAGCTCGTCGTCAGACTTTTGGGCAATGTACAAAAACAGTTAACTATTTAACCGTGTCAAACAAGTGATTCTATGGTTGGCCGAAGTCTGCGCCAATGCGCGTCAACGCGAATTCCTGAAAGCAATGCACTCAGATGAGGCATGCATCAATCGGCATATCGATCTAGATGCCACATACAAATTTCTCAAGGACAAGTGGAAGCGAGCGCAGCCAATGCCGAGGGGATGACGAAATCGTTGACGCGCATTGGCGCAGATTTCGGCCAACCATAGAATCACTTGTTTGACACGGTTAAATAGTTAACTGTTTTTGTACATTGCCCAAAAGTCTGACGACGAGCTGGGGAACCAGACTCGAAAATTTACTCATTAAAGTTTATTGCCTTCCCAAAGAATCTTACTTATTTTCAATATATATATATATATGCATGATCGGTGTGCGCCCATTCCTGATTGAGTGAATAAATACCCGATCTGCAGCGACAGAGAATGGCAGGTGGCGAGGCACTGATGAACTTCGGTTCGATGAAGTGCTTATGACCCATCTGGTAGACCCCACTGGTGGACCAGCTGCGCCAGGTGCGTCTGAGCGCATGTTTGTGTTTCCGGTACCAGCTGGTGGTCAGGGTTATGATTGGCTGAATGAAGGCAAACAAGCCCGAAACAGTGCTGTATCAATCTACCCCCAGACTCTGTCGTCTCCCCTCTGCTATCATAGCTTGGCCGACTTCGGCCTGGTAGGTGGTTGCCTGTTCGTGACCCCTATCGCCCATACGAAGCTTGTTTGCTTCGGGAAGCCAATGGATCGGTGTGCGCTCATTCCTGTGTGAATATATATATATATATATGTGTTGAAATCAAAACGTTCTTTGGGAAAGGGAGAAAACTTTATTAAGTAAATTTTCGACGTCGGTTCCCCGTGTCGTCGTCAGACTAGAGTAAATGTGCTGAAAACAATTAAAATTTCAAACGTGCTACAAAATCAATACTCATTTGGTGCCTCAGCTAGTAAGCTGCCGTCGTGTGTGTCAGTCCGTATTGATCGGCTTTCGTCTCTTCCACTTTTCTCTGAGATTCTTGTACGTGGCATCTAATTCGATATGCCTGTTGATGCATGACTCATCGGAGTGCATGGCTTCAAGAAACTCTCGGCCTGTGATGCCTTATATTGTGACCAAACGGGAAAATGTGCCTCTACACGCATCCACGAACATCAACTTGCAGTTAAGAGGCGAGACCACTTGTCTCAAATGGCCATGCACACTCTTGATACTGGGCACAATTTCGCATGGGACAAAACTCGCATCGTCGGAGTTTGCCCATCTAAAAAAGGCCGAGAGTTTCTTGAAGCCATGCACTCCGATGAGTCATGCATCAACAGGCATATCGAATTAGATGCCACGTACAAGAATCTCAGAGAAAAGCGGAAGAGACGAAAGCCGATCAATACGGACTGACACACACGACGGCAGCTTACTAGCTGAGGCACCAAATGAGTATTGATTTTGTAGCACGTTTGAAATTTTAATTGTTTTCAGCACATTTACTCTAGTCTGACGACGACACGGGGAACCGACGTCGAAAATTTACTCAATAAAGTTTTCTCCCTTTCCCAAAGAACGTTTTGATTTCAATTTATATTTCTTGGGATGCCTGCGTTCCAATATATATATGTATATGGCAATATGCGTGAAGATGCGAGGTCCAGATATATTACCGTGTATATCATCCCCCGAGGAAGACGAAGAAGAGAAATCGATTTCATGGACCAGGTTGTATTCAGACTGACGTTTCGGAAACACACTCGTTTCCATCATCAGAGTCGTGTGTGTGTGTGTGTGCATATATGCAGAATAACATTGCCGACAAAGACGAGGTGAGATTCGGTGTCGTATAAGTTTTCGGGACTGGTTCCCCGGCTCGTCATCAGACTCATGGGCCATGTACAGAAACAGTTAAATATTTAGCCGTGTCGAACAAGTGATCCTGTGTTTGGCCGGATTTCGCGCCAATGCGCGTTAACCGTATTTCGTCACCTCGGCAGCAGTCACCATGGAGGGTGGGGGGCTCACTACTAACCTGACTAATTATTGATAAACGTTTCGCCTGTCACGGACGTTAAATGCTTCTTCCATGGGAGTCTTCCTTTTATTTTTCATGTCATTATCTCCCACCTTGACTTTTGTTTCATCGTCGTAAAGTTACTGGTTTGCTTGACTCTCACTCTGCCCCGCAGGATGTTAATCCAACACCAACTGACAATGTCAGAAGTCCTCATCTTATTTCTGCCGGCGTGGACAGCAAGGCAACAACTGCATTCCCTGCCGCTCGACCCGACGGCGAGTCGAAATCCAGGCCACGTCCTGTAAGCTATATTCCATGTTCTCCTACCTGTCATGATAAACGCATGTTTGATACTAAAACGACGTTCATATTGTTAGGTCGAAATTCTAACTGTTTGTAGGTTTCCCTAACTGCCTTCTATAAACCATCATACCTCAGTCCGTTCTACGGCCACATCATCATCATCATCATCATCATCATCATCATCATCATCATCATCATCATCATCATCATCATCATCAATCTCATTTACTTTTACTACTAGTCGCTGTGCGACTTCGCGACTGCAGTGATAATAGCTTAACGAACGTAACTTTCTCAAGACGGAATGTGATTCCCCCTTATTAAGCGGCACGATTCAAGTGAAAAGTGGGAGATTCCGGCCGAGGAGATCGAGAAGGGCCCACGCATTGGATCGGGATCCTTTGGAACCGTATTCAAAGGTTACTGGCATGGAAACGTTGCGATTAAGGAACTGAACGTGATCGACCCCACCCCCTCTCAATTGAAAGCCTTCAAGAATGAGGTCCACGTTCTCAGGTATGTAGTGATTCCCCGTATCTCCTTGTTTTACGTGGGTCATCCGCAGCCATTTGCCATCAGAGTTTTTTATGAGTTTACTGAGAGTGGGTTCAGGCTTTGATAAATAGGACCTCTCAGGTTGTATCTTCTACTTCGAACTGACCGACTTTATTCTGGTTTTCTCGAGAGGGCAACTTGCCTAACAAAATTTGCCGATGCTTTTAGGTTCCATTATGCTACCTTGAAGTTATGACTTCTGATCGCCGATCATAAAAGAAACCCGAATTATTGTGCCCTGAGAGAAATACGGCGAACCATTATTCTTGACTGTTTTATCTTCCACTTGCTCTCCGCCCCATTGTGGAACGTTAAATACAGCACATTGCCAGCTCCGGACACCACCTTTCCGTCGGATGATAACGGAAGTTTGGCAGATTTGATGTTTGGTTTTCATTCTTGGTTGTCAACACCAAAGCGTGCCTTGTTTCACGTAGCGGAGGGATGCCTTGGCTGGTCCACCAATTTTGTTTTAAATTCTAAACAGAAGGCACCAGCCTCGTGGACTTCAGCTGCATGATAAAGTCCAGTTTTAGTGGCTGCTCACTTAGACTACCGTGCTTGGTACATGACAGTTATTCTTTCTAGCCTATGGTCTTTTGGCAGAACCCATGCGGAACGCATCATCTGTGCAACAGCCGTTTGTGTTTTGTTTGTCCACATTTAGCCTTTTATTCCATTACACGAAGTCAGCGGTAGCTTTTGCTGTTGTCTAAGCTATCTCTTTTCTGAAGCACCAACACCACAAATAACACTGCAAATAACTTTCTTATTTGAAGTTGTCATTTGGGCAAATCCGATCTTAGTTTTTTGATTTCGATTTCCTGACAGGTGAGATATCCGACGAAACAAGATGGGGATATACAGATGCTTTGAAGTTCGGTAGGGGACATGACAGAGATCGACTCGTTAACAAGTCCCTTTGTCGATAGTTTGACATCCAGGCTCAATAGGTAATTGGGCAAGAATTGGCAAATGAGGTAATACCTGATAAATGAAACTCGGCCCTCCTCGTTGCTGCATAAGCGTCCTCGATTTTGCCGTAAAGGTCATTGCAATTGCATCGGTCAGGCCGTTAACAGATGCGCATAATGCAGTGATGTAGACAAATCATAAATTCCGTGACGAGTTGGTTAAATAGCATTACTGCAACATCTCCAATCTTATCATAGCCACCAGCAGCCAGCATTTGTCTGCACTGTCTGTAGGATTTACTTCCGTTAGTCATGAGTCTTAGTGCCAGATAACAAAACTAGATGGTTTACTGACAGAAATTCTTGTTGTGTTTAAAGCATTTGATCACCGCACCAGTGTCTGGATCCTTGTCCATTGGTCATTTATTCAGCCAGAATGCCTCCTGTCGATTAACCTATTTAGCTGCTTTAGGAACCCAATTTTTCACGCTTCTTTTGATATTAAGCTTGCTCCTGGACGTCGACTGGTCGCACCGATTAAACTGATGTAGTACTTTTTCTAGCATTTACTGCAGTGTCTTGGATTAGCGAGATATCCTGGTTAGTTAGTTCATCATCCAACACGGCAAAAACCGCAGTATTCTGGAGACACACCGACCAACAGAAGACACCCCAATAGTTGTTGGCAGATTGGAGAGGTTGCCATTTTCAAATATCTTGACGCCATACTACTGCCAAACAAAGTGACTGATAACGGTATTGTCATCCCGATCAATGCCATTGGAATATTTCGATGGATGCAAATCCTTTTATACCAGCTATCCGTCCAGTAATTCTGCGACTTAGAATACGAGGATATGCGCGCATAAATTGAGAGGGTGGAAGTATTCGTCTACCGTTGCTTGAGAATGGCCCAAAATATCAGAGTGCGTGGTTACTGTGCCAACCTTTCAAGATTTTTTTAAGCCACCCAGAAAAGCTGACTCAAGAAATTTGAACATATTGCCTGTCGTCAATTCCATGAACTCGATGACCCTGTACAACATCCGTTTCCGTCCCACCATTGAGGGCTAGGAAGAAGCGGTAAGCTCAAAACCTTAGTCGAAAATCCATCAAGATGTTAAAGTGCTTTAGAGGCCCTCCATGTTTGGTGCCTGCCGCCAGAGCGAGGCTTTGTTCGACGGCACCGCCTTGTCTGCTGTAGATTGCTGTTCGTAGATTAACACACCAATAGTCCCTTTAAAATGGCCGAATCAGATATAATGACAAATAAACTGTAGGGCTCTTACTTCCAACACATACTCGATCCATATAGTGATCATTAGCCATTTCTCAAATTTTGTCAGGACCTTGGGTTTTCCTTTTTTTAAGGAAGACAAGCCATGTCAACATCCTGCTGTTTATGGGTTGCGTCTCAAAACCGCGCCTGGCCATCATTACACAGTGGTGCGAGGGTTCTAGCCTCTACAAACACGTCCACGTACTGGAGAAACGCTTTGATATTGAGGAGATGGTGGACGTCTCCCGTCAGACAACGCAAGGCATGGAGTAAGTTTAATCTACCCTGTTCGCATTCCTCTATCCAGAGCTTTGACTGCTTTCTTCCATCTTATGATTAGTCAGATTTCGCCCTTCTTGGTAGTTCCATGTACTGCATTTGTGCTGCCCCCTGTAACGTTCTTTTAACCCTCCGTGTATGCTATCCACTTTACTGTTTAGTTATCTTCATGCAAAAAACATCTTACACCGGGATCTTAAGTCAAGCAACATTTTCCTGCATGAGCGTATCGTGAAGATTGGCGATTTCGGTTTGGCAACAATGAAGACTCACTGGTGGAAGGGTGGGTCTCGTCAGCCCACTGGTTCCATCTTCTGGATGGTAAGTTTCCCTTCTCCGAACATTGCCGAACAGTTATACTCCTGTGTACTTACAACTGTGACAATTCACTTTTTGTCACCTCTGAGTTCTCGGGATACAATTCTGCATAGTACTATGTTTCGCATGTTGGAACTCTCAGGCTTGCCAATGACCTTTTGAATACAAAGGCCAAGACCTTTTGCACAGAATTTGTACTCCTTCCCCTCATCGATACTGATTCCCAAACCGTGTAGATTTTCCACCACGTAATTTTTTTGTAACCATCTCCTTGTTCCTGATTTTATTGCTTATGTGACCAATTACAATGCTTGCATTTAGGTAAACCGTTTTACTTTCCCTCTCTCTCTTGCCCAGGCGCCCGAGGTGATCCGACTTGAAGGCGAAACGCCGTACACTAATCTGTCTGATGTTTACGCGTTTGGAATTGTTGTCTACGAGTTGATCACCGGTCAACTACCTTTTCGTGGACACCACGATCGCGACCAGATCCTCTTCTTGGTTGGCAAGGGCCTCCTGAAGCCAGATCTTTCAATAGTTCGCTCAGATGTCCCTGCCGAACTGCGTCGCATAGTCGCTGAGGCCTGTAGTTTCAATCGTGACGATCGCCCTTCCTTTTCACAGGCAAGTCTACATCTGCGCCTATTTTTGCTGTCTCTCGCATCCCCACTGTCTCCTGCATATATCATTCTTTCCTGAGCTCGCCTATCAGGGAGTTCATATTGGCTGGAAATGCCGTCCACTAAGACGTTAAACATTGATGAGGACCAGTAAATGTATGGGAGTAAGAGAGTTTAGGAAGGAGGCCTCACAATGGGGTAATGCTGTTGGTTCCACGCGTTGTCGCCCATTTGCAAATAAGGCGGCTCCACAGACTGGGTGTCCTCTTTCCAGGCGCAGTGCTTTCACGTTACTGCTAGAATCGCCCTACTCAGCCTGTGCTATGCCTCGTAGACATTGGTTTTTAAGGGCGACCTGTTTATGCATTTCCCCATTTCTCATTTGTCGGTTGTACCGTGTTTAAAACAGTGTCGGTTGAAGCACCAGCGTTCTACACCGTATCCGTCCATCAATCTAAAGTCGTGTCACCTGCGAAGATGTCGTACCCTGGGGTGGACTACGTCTAGCTTATCTGGCATCTGTAGGTGAAGAATTTTGTACGTGGATCCAGGTATTATCAGTGACTGTCTGGCTTTGGGCTGATTCAGAGGTAGGCTGCATTTGAACGTGTAATCCCGTAGTTCACTGGGGTTGTCCCTCATTGATAATGCAAACCTTGCCTGAGTACTCGGGGACATTTCACGACACAGCCTGCCACTTGGGATTATATCCTCCCCCAGCATCTGGATACTGTTAGAACTTCTTCACCCTACGTTTTGTCTGATCTCTTGGAACGCTTTAACGCTAACTTAGCCCAGAAACTGGAACGCTGTCAATTCAGTATATTAAATAAATAGGTCTGCTGGACTTTAAGTTGTTTATACCTCGCATCCCAAATTTGGCCTCGTTCTTCGAAAATGCTCGGTATAAAATCATCATCAATACTGCAGTGATGCCAAGAGTGCTTACAGTTTTAGAGTAGAAGCCACGAAACTGTTCGACACCCCTTTGCAGGTAATACGCCAGTGTTATTTCACGAAAGTGGGCCGTTTTGAGGCACTGCTAAAGTCTAAGCGTCCTGCCATACCAACGCTTTTCCACTCGAGTCACAAACCCATGGACATATTCACAGTCAAAGACAATCTTATCATCATGTCAGCAGGGTCCCACAACCTAGTTTAGTTTGCGTATACCTCGGTGACGACCGGGCCTGCCTACCATTGGATTCTGCATCAAGACACCCGGCTTTGGACGATGTTCCCCTTTGTATTTGTTTAGCAAACGCCTCAATATGGCAAACAAAGGCACACCTTCTTCTGCGAGTTACCCAGTCCTTCAGTGGGGCAGCAGCTAAGCTGCATGATACTGCCAAATGCGCTGGTGAGCCGTCTACCACAACTCTGTTTTACTTGCTCAGTTGTCTGCCACCCACAGCCGAGACCATTTATCCAGCAACCGCATCAAAAGCTAAAAGACTTCTTTACGGATAGTCGCTGTTATCAAAGTTGACTGTTTTTCTTTTCAACGTACGTTTACTGTACCGCAGCTACACGAACGCCTCGACGAGTTCTACAGGTCGCTTAAAAAGCTGCATCGTTGCTACTCAGAACCGAGCATTAAACGGGCAGTGGATGCATTCGCCAAGGAGGAGGTTGTTAATCCCGGTTTCCTGCGCATTCTTCCCAAAATTGATCCACCACCGGCTCACCACCCGCTGGGCGGCGGCAGCAGCGGCCTTCCGTCAAAAGGCCACCAATCGCCAGCCCGACCATCCGGTTTCGGCGTCTTCTTTCACGCCGGCGGTGGTGGAAGCGGGCAAGGAGAGGTCGCAGGTGCCCGCGACGGTAGTTGCGTCACCGCCGACCACCGACCCGCGGATCATGTCCCAGCAGCCAGTAATCCAGCCCCAGGGGAAATCCAGCGCTGATTTGCCTTGTGCTTTTTTCACTCCACCTGATCGCATTAATAGAACCTGCAAGTGCATTCCGTCGGTCCGGGCTCCACTTTTTCTCCCTTTGTCCATGCTTCACCTTAAATTCGGTGGTTTTTGGCCCTTGTCCGATTTTTACTTCGAGGTGGCCTCATCTGAATGCTGTCCAACGGTGTTTTACTCTCTTGGTCCATGTATTTGCTTACTTCTAGCTTTGCCACTTTGGTATCGTATATTCTGTTTTATTCTGAAGGTAGTTGTGTCTCTGCCAGTGTGGGTAGTTGAGTTGGCCAGAATTTGCTTTCCATTAGTCTTGATTCTTATAAATACCGCATTAGTTATTGTTAGCCAAGAAGTTGCCCCTCTCACCGTCCGTGGCCCCTGGAAAGTCCTGTTGGCTATAGTTCCCTTCGGCCGTAAAAGGACCGGATAAAGCCCCTCGTCCCGCTAGCAGGGTCACGCGGGTGAAGGCTTGACTTTCTTTTGTTTCTATAATTGAGGATAGTCATATTCAACTGTCCCCTCTGGCACATCAGTTTGAGGTTCTAGGGTTGTGACAGAGGGCGCGTGAGGTCATATTTGGTGACGAGCAATACTCACCGTGTTGTCATATTGCTGTGATTTGTGGGCAACTGACCTGCCATACCCGAAGGCATTACTGCAGCATGGCCTACGAGTGCTTTTTCTTCAGGCGACGATGCATACTTACCTAGTCGGTGGCCCTCATTGAGGGCTGTTTCGCCAGCCACCTACAACCTGTGGACATGCCGCGTTGCTCTTAGGTAGACTAACGGGCAAGCCCCATCTCCTTATGGTCAATTTATTTATATTTATGCTATGGAATACTACGTAGAACGATAGCAAACGAAAATAGTACCAAGCTGTGCTGGTGTTTCTTATCGCGCAGTAAAGTAGCCTAATGCATAGAATGCCAGATACAAGTGTCGGACCTGTCGGAGTTGACGGCAGATCGCGCAGACTTCTTTCTCATCGGAAGGTAGATTCGGCCGGTGCGCCATGATAAACTTCGAAATGTCGACATTATTTCATAGTCTCAGATTGTCCCCAGTCATGACCTCTTACATGGACTCGGAAGCTCAGGTAGACACCGTGGCTATTCGGAATATTAACATATCTTTTGTTGAATAGGACCTTTGGTCTAGGTTGATAGGCTAGTATTCAGTTTCAACGCAAACATTTGGTTCACGTGATGTGGACCTTGTTTGTATGCACACATATACCTATCGGACCTCTAATATTGAACACATCATTGTCGTTTGTGAAGCAGCGTTTGTCACTTTTTAAAATTTGCATTTGCATAAGTAGCATGATATGCCATACTTGACAGCACAGGTATTAGCCAAAAGTCCAAACACATGTCTTGCCGACATTCTGCTGCTGCATGACACAACTTCAAGGGGTTCGGCTCACCAGTTTGTCCTCAGCGTTCCCTGCGGGCTCTTCTGGTGGATATTCCAGTTTTGAAATTGCGGCTTTTTAATCCCCTCAGAAATTAGTCGCTAACTGGGAGCCTAAGCCCATAAGTCTTAAATAGACTGCTCTACTCCAAGTTAGCGGTCAGTTTCTGAGAAAATTAAAAACGGTTTCAGAACTGGAATGTCTGCCAGAAAAGCACACAGGGAACATTGGAGAGCCCACTGATGAGCTGAATTCGTCGAAGTTATGCCATGCAGTGGCAGAATATGGGCAAAGTGCGTGTCCGTGCTTTTAGCTTGTACTAGGGCTGTCAAATATAGTATATCATGCTACCTATGCATACACGACTGATTGGCACTAACGGTAAATTTCAGTAAAGTGTCCCGCAAACACTACCGAGAGTATATGTGGAGGAACCGCGATGGTGCCCCCCAAACGCTCCCTAAATGATTTTATTCGTGATAGTTAGGCAGCTGTCGCTGCATGTGCCTTGCGTGACAATTTGGTCACGCTATGCCTGGGTTTTATGAGAGCTAAGCACCTCTTTCTGTTGCACTGCCATATTTTGTTCTCGATTTGATGGATCCTAGTCGTCAGCCTGAATGTTGGACCTGGTGCGACCATCTTTATGTCGTATATCCTGGGGGAGGGGGGGGGGGAGTAAACGTCTGTTGCAAAAGTGACCATTAGCTTTTAGAGAGTTTACCTCGAACACGCATGCCATCAGTCAGAGAGGGAGTTTGACCCTGCCTGCGCACCGCTAATTGGCAGGGCGACCAATGAAAGCGACTATTTGCGAAACAAGATGACCAGCCTCTGTGCACCCACGCCCTCTAGGATGCGGACCATCAACTCGGCAGTTTGTTCGTCGTAATTGGCGGTTGACATCATCGTCCGACTACGTTTGTGGTTCGGTGGCGGGGACTTGTTTGCGGTTGCCTTTTCTTCCCTTAAATGTGCGTTATAATGTGGAGTAGGAGTTTCAGCGCTGCTTTTTTTCGGTCAGGAAACACATTTGCTGGTGAGTATAGTTCACTTGAACACTGATATGTCCAGGAGTGTAGATATAGGGGAGGGCGCAGCGCTAATTGGAAGAAGCGTGCTCGTGTCCAGGTTTCGCGGCTGCTGCACTGAACGCACCAAGCACTTTACCTCACTCTGAAGCCACAGACACCGCATGGCTACAGGTATCGGTGTGGTCTACTTATTATTAAGTCCAGTTCTGGTGGTCTAGATCGTATAGGCTCTGAAGATGTAATGCTTTTGACATTGGTGGCAGGAGTTGTCTGGTAGGTAGGGCCGATTGCAGGGGAGATGAACACGAAAATACTCATCCTGGTTCACAATGTAGCCAGGATTTTAGTGTTGTTGTGATGTGGTCAACACAGCTCATGCTCCTCAGTACATCATGGACATTGATGCTAGTAGTTTAGCAGCAGTCGTGGTGTTCCACGTAACCAATCTTAGCCCCGTATGTGCGTTGGCAGTGAAGGCACTCCGGGAAGGATTAGATGCGAACGTTGTCCCTCGATATTTTGGTCTTCCGTTCTCGTCGCTTCCCTTTGTCATTTTTCCCTGCCTTTCAATCATGTGTGAGGGCATCCCAGGATATTTGGTCGGTTCCAATACATATGAGAATGACTTTCAAAATAACCTTGTAGTTCCATTTCTGTTTTTCCTGTTGTTAATGACCGCAACAGCATAGAGCCGTAGTTTTTGCAGACGTTGACCAGTTGGCCTCTTCCCCGACCGTAAATCTACATCGGCGCTACAAAGATGTTGGGTTTGTCAGCGAATTGCAGAACTTTGGTGTCCGGGGCCCAGTCTCACTAATTCGCGAGCAGAATCTTTTGAATGAAGCTTAGGTAGGAAGGGTTGGGTCTACTCGCTGTACTCTAGTAGCATGTCAGTTCATTCTGCCATAGAGGGGTTTCGGCAAGATGACGACCATGCACCTCCTCAGCTTCGTTCTGAGAAGGACGCCGCGGCAATTCCAGACTATGAAGGCATGATTGGCTTCAGAAATCCCAGCTACGATATCTCCGTTGGTTTTTTGTTTTGTGGGATGGCGCCTTCCAAATAAGAGAAGCGATCCGCAACGGAGGGGCGACTGTCCCCGACAGTAGGGATTCAGTTTGTTCCGCAGTTATTGCCAACTGAGGGATGGCAACCGTCTAATTCATGCCACCGGTTAATACGACTGGAGTATTTAGCGCCTCATAGGTTCGGGCTCTCTAGCAGGTTTCGTTCACTTCCAGTTTTCAGCATGTAATTTCTTGTGAAGAGAAGGGCGCACATTTTTGAGCTGGGGTCTCGGTATGACTTAAGCGTAGCGGACGTTGAACAAACTTCTGACTGAAGTGTGACGTTCATTACGGGTCGCTTGTTGCGACAAACATTCGTGAGTACTGCGAAGAAGATGAGGCTGAATAAAATCGGAAACAGTACGCAACTCTGGTTCACTCCGGTTGTCCCCCTGAGGGCTTTGAAGGATGACCCGCTGTCCGTAACGCAGGCCTGCATGACGTTGTGAATTTACCTGGTCATCGGCGAAAATTTTTCCGAACGTAGAAATGTATAACTGATTTCCAGAATCCGTCCGTCTTCATGAATTCGAGGACAGTTGTTAGTTTGATGAAGTGGTATGTGGGCTGGTCCTAGTTTTCGACATTCGTCCTGTGACTGCGGTATTGTGAAGATAGTGTCGACTGTTTTGAGATGTATTCAGAACTCACAGCATATGCCTAGAAGAAGTCCCTATTCCACGTGAGAGCTCAAGGAACTCGGAAGAACGTGTCTAGAAATTTGTCCAGAAATACTCAGGAGAAAGATGTCTCTGTGACTGCCGCAAACCAGCTGATTACCATATTCATTTTAAGAGTACACGATAGTGGCATTCCTGAATTTTTGCAGCATCTTTCCATGTCTTCAAATATTTCGATAACCGAGGTCAGTTTTCCAGAAGTTGAAAGTCGCCGTGCTTGTAGACTTCGACGGGGATCGAATCGGCGCCTGAGGCTTTTCCGTTAAAAAGCTGTTGCACTGCACTTCATGGAGAGCGATCAATAAATCTAAACGTTGGTTTCGACTCGAGGATGACGAGCAGAGCATTAAGGTTGTCTCCATTGTCGAACTCTCATCCTCATCCTCGTGATGAGCAGGCATTCGGCAGCGCAAATAGCTCTTATCATTAGTACGTTACGGTTACTGCTCCTCCGGACGAGCATACTGACAACCGGGCGCTGATGGTATGACCCACCGCAGATCCTGGTTGTCTTTTTGCATTTTGGCAGTCGACAGACGGAATTTACACAGAGGCGGTTATGTTACGACTAGGTAGTCTGAAAAGGTGAGCTCGTTAGAGTTGTTATCTGGGTCGCGACTTCCATGTGTTCCTTCCGAGATGGAGTAGTTTATGCCTACTTATACATTCAAACCCATAAAACCAAGCGGAGTGTCCGTAGTGGCCGAACTCTGGGGACAAGTTACAACGATAAACCTCTCACGACCGCTTGCACGTGCTCACCAATTGCGGTCTGGTTGTCGGCTGAGCAAACTGG